ATTACATTTGTAGAGATAATTTATACCAAAAAGAAAAAGAAATAAAAAAGAAATAAAAATATATCCAGAAAATAATTTACGATTTCAGAAGGGGTTCAATTGATTTTCTTCTAAATATATGCTGTTAATATAACATATTGAAAAAATCAATGTAATCAGAGAATTTATTAGCTTGCATACTAAATCGATTAATAGGTTTAAATCTACCATATGGTGTTCGATGATACGAGATACAAAACAATGACCATCTGAGCAAACAACCGGGGACATTAAACCCCAAGAGCTCCAGAATATTGGAACAATCTGTATTGTTATTAATTATATTACATAAAAATTAAATCTGTAAAAATTTTGTACCTCAAAAGTAAAACATCTATCTCATGCTGAATCAACCGATAATCGTCTAGAAAAAGTATAACGCCCAATGAAAAAACTCAAAGGGCGCAAAAATATATTAATAAATATATTAACGGATTTCTTTTTCAGAAGATTCTCAAGACACTTGTCTATGTATATTAAAATATAATTGATTGGTTTTATACCATTACTCTAATTTATCAAGATTTTATTGCAATAAAGTGGCTTGATTAAGGTTATTAGCACGGAGAAAAATTTTAAGATCCTCAGCATAGAGCGAGAATTTAGAATTCTGAGTAGCATTTTGGACGTCATTGATAAAGAAAGAAAATAGGGAACCCAGATGAGATTCCTGGAGAACAGAGGATTACATTTACAAATTGAAAAAGATATGATAATTAACTATGCTTCTATCTTTCTTTTTGTCTAAAAAGAAGATGAGAAACGTGAGTACGAAGATGGGTACGCGCGTTTAATATTGTTTTTGTCTTGTCCAGTTTTTTCGAGAAAATGTTGAAGAAGAAGGCGGAAAAAAGCGTTTCGCGGCCACCGTTGAGAATCATGAATGGTCTTATGATCCCAGGCTTCTCGTGATGAAGTGCGAAGATTCTATGCTGCACAAAGCGGAGTTCTCCCACGTCCTACCTCCTCGGTAGGGCCATCACAAAGGATAGGCGGAGGGCGGGATATCCGACCTCGATATTATGACACTTCGAGAGAGTATATTTATACGACCTAGTTTTATACGAATCCCTCTCAGTATTACTCCGCTGACTTTATTCCAACTTGTTCGCGGGACTTTGCTTCCGGAAATTATAAGTGATTCCACTGGCGACGACGATGTATGTAACGTGAAGACCGCGGAGGTTCGTCCAAAGGTGAACCTCGGAATTACACGAATTGCGCAGATCCGTTCGGCTTCGCGAATGGTGAAGTTTTATCGTGCATTTTAAACGATAGAATTCGTTGGAGAATTATCTACGCGAGAAAATAGAATCGGGCGCGCGAATAGTGCACGATATTTATTCGTGCACCTAGCAGATTCGCCTCTCGAGCAGACACAGGTCGTAAAGCAACGAACGAGAAGCATCTCTCTCTGTCTTTCGAATGCCATCGATTTCGCGTCGCGAAATGTCCGCTAACGCCATTCGGCGCGCATTGAACTAGACTAAAAGCGACTTTCGGCTCGGGGCTGTTGATACGGATCCAAAAGCATTAAAATTTAATGTTTCGCGTATTTCACTGCGTCTGTGGACGGTGGGTATCGATAAAGTTTCCAAAGCCGACTCTCTACGCCTGACTGCCGCGCGCTCGCCTGGAATTTCAGCCGGCTATAACAGTGACGTTGCCGCGCCGTTGTGAGTGCGCGCGGGCGAGCATTCACACCACTGTTACGCACTCACGTTTCGGAATGTTATTCGAAAGTTCGCGGGTGGTAGCCGGTGGTGGTAACATCGGTCCAGTTTCAAATGCCGCGAACGTCGGGGGATGCGCGCGCGCGCGCTAACTTCCCGAAATCTGTAATTACGTTTATGCGGCGTCATTAACGCAAAACGACGGCTTTCGCGAACTCGAACGGCCGAGTGTATTCGCAGCGGTTGCGTTTGGACTCTCTCTGTTAAAAACCCCTCCTTCCGCGAACGAGTCGCTGTGCATCACCGAGAAGCCCGGCACTTGCGCGAGGGCGACGCCGAGTTACTCGCCAGTGTATGCCGCTCGATCGACAATCTCAAAAGTGCATTGAATTATTAACGCGTTATCGAGCTTGCGAGCGGCGCATAAAACGTTGTTTCTCGCGTAGACCTGCAGATTAATCGCTAATCTAGTCCGGTTGAGTTTCCGGCGGACGCGAAAGAAAGGTAACGCGCGTGCTGCGGAGGGACGGTAAGAAACGTTAGTTACGCTCAGTGCGCGCAGCGGAGTCGAACCAATTTCAGAGATGTTTCGATGTAAAAGGGGAAGAATAGCGGCAGGCCGGATTGGATTTATATCCCTGCATCCAATTTCTACGACGGTGTATAGTAGTCCGCGCGGACCGTGGTAGACTTCGGCTGTCGTAGTCGCCGCGCCTCGATGCATGGCATGCGGCGCGGTGCGACGCTCGCGACTATTGCAGGTGGCGACGCGACGCGTCAACGGACGTTTTACAAAGCGATATATATCGCTCTCCGGGTATACTTTTATTCCGCAAATATTCATAAATCCACGGTGAGAATAAAAGGCCTGCTTATTCCGCTCGCCTTTTGTTGTCGGCGGCCGCGGGCCCGTTGAAAGCAAACGTCGCAGTTAAATGGCTGGACGTAATTTTCCCGTTGTTCTCCCGGTCGAAAGAAACGACATTTTTGCCAATCCCGCGTGCTTTCTCATGTTAACGAGCTTCGAACTCGCGTACCCCGTCCCGTCAGTAACCGCCGGCGAAATCTCGCTTCGCCCCCGTTGAAAGCGGAAGAAAGTTCGAAAGAAAGAAAAGCGGTAAAGTTCGTCGCGGGAGAAAGGAAAAAAAGAACGATGAATGCGTATCAAAGGAGCGCGCGCGCCACTGCCACGGATTCATCTACGTTTTATTTAATTGTTCTTTTCCGTAGGCGGACGATTTTATCCCACGCACCCCAGTCAAAATTTTAGACCTACTTTCGATCCGAATTTTCGAACATCTGTAGGATCAATGTATCTGTAGGTTCCGCAGGATCAATGTGGGTTTAATTTATATGAAAACTTTAGTCTTATTTTAGCATCTTTAAATGTCGGAAAACGCATAAAATTCCATTTGTAAGTTCTAAAGAGAATCTCAGAGTAAAACCTCGTAAAAGTCTGAGCTTAACCTGTTCTTCTTATTTTATTAAGATTAGAGACAATATATTGGTCAATCCTTATTCAAGGAAATAATTTTATATTTAAAAGCAATACTTCTTTACATAAATGTCATGCACAAAATAATATTAAATTAATTCTCACTGACACTAACGTTGCAACTTGTGTTTATACTTATTAATAACGAAATGTACATAGGTATTCCTACATACATTTCATTATTTATTCCTACATTCATTCCTATAGGTAATAAATCAGCAATTTTAAGAACTGGAGTAATGATGTTAAGTTAACGATTGGAAATGATTCTTGCAATCCTTAGACTGTAATAATGCCTATGTTTTCAATAATTATATAATAAAGTGTTTCTGTTTCGTAAAAACTAGTACCGAATTTTTGCTTGTCTTATAAAGATTACATACTCTAACATATTTAAATTTTTTATTATTATTTTGGTTAGATATAGCAAGATTCAAAAATGGTTTAAAAAAGAAGAGTATTGATTTAGTTATATTACAAAAAGTCAGAAAGAATTTAGAAGTATTACAATAGGAGCAGCAAACCAACCAAGTAGAATTTACAGACTTTAAATAAAAGTAAGTTAAATGGAATCAAAAGAGGTTTCTATAGGCTTCAGAGTATCTAAGTAGGCTTTACATGGAATATTGAAGTCGAAAGTAGAGCTACAATTTCAGTTAAGGAGGTTAAATAGAATCAAACGAGGTTCATATAAGCTTTGGAGTATCAAAGTAGGCGTTAAATGGAATTTTCAGATTGAAAATAGGATCGAAATTTCGATTCGAGCATATTTCCCATATTGCCCGAGTCGAAATTTTAGTTCTGCTTTAAATGTAATTTAGTTCTACATTAAGTGTTCAAAGGTCTTCTATTGTGCTTTTTGGATATTACAAATAGAGAAATTACTGCCATTTTCTCCGCTCGAAGACTTAATACGAACCTAAAATTTAAATTTTGAAGGACTAAATTCTTTTTGTAGCATTAAAGAAGCACTTATTGATCCCCTTTGATGCTACAAATAAGAACTTATTTCCATCTCTTCCCCTTGAAAACTTAATGTAGAGCTTAACAATTTCGATTCAGATGATTACTTCAATCGAACGTTACACGATATCTCTTTCATTTATATCCGATAAAAATCGCGCGATATTTGTTACAATACTTTTCGTCCGTTGTATATTTTAACGCGATTTAATCCATAGGCGCTTCGCGTTCACGTAATGAAAAAGAGCGCAGCTCGCGATGAGACGCGGAAAACGATAAGACGCACTCGCTGTTTTTGCGATATAATTCGCGCTCGAAACGAGATAGATTTCCCGCGGGGATGCTGCTACGTAGGCTGCTTCAATTCCCGGGCAAGTATCACGTGGCAATCAGTGTGTTAAAAATTATTTTCCAACAACACTACAAGCCAGTCCACCTCCACCAGTCTCCCTCTTTCTCTCACTACATGGGCTGCGTTTAATCTCGCGTTTATTTTTTTCCGCGTATAGGTCATAAAGTAAAATAACATCAACACGTAGATAGCCTCACCTTATTAGGCAACAGAGATTCGCGCAATTACGACGGTATCACGAACAAATAAATGTCACATGAGTCCGAGAAGATACGCACGCGCGTCCCGACTTCTTCCCGATAACGAGACAGAGAATTGCTGCACGCACATAAGATATGGTCGATAATCGAACGAACGCTCGTGCCGAAGAACACCGGCTACTCGTCGGCGAGTCCTCTCCAACTGCCGGATAATTACCCGTGGGGTATTCGGCAAGCGGCTACGTTTACGATAATGCACAATGTAATTCTCATTACAGCGTAAAGCGCTTCTGCCGTTCGCCGGCAGGAGGATCGCCGAGGTACGTGCTCGGGCGAGGAAGGAGACGACATTATTGCATCCCGCAGGACCTTCTCCGAAATGGGTCAGGAACGCCCTGTGGCTTGTGCTCAAACGCGATAACAGCCACTTAAGCATTGTTCCCGGCACGATCGAAGGTACCTCCCGAATCGGCCACAATCTCGACGGAACGATCTCTCTGGGGAGAGGAGGCGTTATGTGCCCATCGATCGCGGCGGAAAAGTGAATCGAGTGCGCTCTTTGAAGAGTGCGACGCGCCGGAGAATCGGAGGGTTGAAAAGCTTGTTGCGGTATTATCGAGTTTCAGTAGGGCCCGCGTTTACATGAGCGGTCCATGAAAACGAATCGCTATGATAACTAAGTGCCCTCGAATGCTGCGGGGACACGAGTCGAGTGCGAGCAATCGTGGCTTTTTTTCGATGAAAAGCCCCGTCAAGTATCAAACCGTGAAGCCAACGAGTTCCCTAAACGCCATTTCAAATTTGCCGGCTCATTATGAAACATAAATTCTCGACGCGCTTTCGAACGTGCCGAGCCGTATAAAAGCGCACCTCGCGGGGACGACGAAATTACGACCAGGAACTTTCCCCAAATGTATGTAAATACGGTTTGCTTATTCCTATAATGCGACGAGCACACAGTACTGAGCGTACACACCGACCTCCTTTTAGTAAATGGTAGTTATGCAAAGATCTGGAATAGAAATATCCAACGGTCGAAACGTGCCGTGCGGCGAAAACTGAGAGGGAGTTAAGATACAACTCCTGCACAGTTATAATACATGAATAATTAATTCGAAAGCGTCGTTTTCGAAAATAACTCTTAAACATAATTAATGGTTAAGAAATAAACCAATATTAATTTCGATATTATACGAAAAGCAACCATTTATTTCATATTTCTGTTGGGAATATATTATTCATTAGTGTCGCATTTTTAGTGGCGCATCAAGAAGGCCACTCATAAATTTAGTATTCTTTAAGCAAAATTACGTTCCTATACATTTATTTCACTATCTAAATAATAAATATTTATTTAAAACGGAGTTAAGATAAAAATTTCTATACGGTATTACAAATACTATATCATTCAATCTGTAAATATCATTATTTCTTATTTTTCTAATTAATATTGGGTGAGTGCAAAAGTGCATGCGGAGTTTGTGAGTAAAAGTCAGACAGTGATTAGGCAAACAAAGTTCTTTATTCAATTAATGATATATTCTCCATCGTTGTCTATAATCTTTTTCCAACGTTCTGGCAGCATACGGATGCCCCGATCATAAAAACTGCGCGGTTTAGATTCGAAGAACGAAGACACGACATTTTTTAAGGCATCCAAAGAGTCAATTTTTTTTCCATTTAAATGATTTTGCAATGACCGGAACAAGTGATAATCAGAAGATGCGATATCAGGAGAATACGGTGGATAAGTTAGGACATCCCATTGCAGGCTGTTCAGTTTGCGCAGCGTCTGTCTCGAAACGTGTGGTCTTGCGTTGTCGTGGTGAAAGACTACGCCCTTGCGATTTGACAAAATCGGACGTTTCTGTTTGATTTCTAGATTCAGATTGGTTAATTGGCGACAGTACTTGTCCGAATCAATCGTTTGACCAGCGGGGAGAAACTCAAAATAAATTATGCCCTTGCAATCCCACCAAACACAGAGCATCACCTTCATCGGGTGTAAACCGGCCTTTGCCATTGCTTCACCATGCTCACCTGCCTGTTTCCATGTGCGTTTGCGCTGAACATTGTTGTACAGGACCCATTTCTCATCGCCCGTCACTAATCGATCCAAAAACGGCTCGTTTTTGAGCCGCCCGAGTAAAAAAACGGCAGCAGAAACTCGCTGGATTTTGTTCCTCTCCGTCATCAAATGGGGCACCCATACATCGAGCTTCAAATCGAAACCGATTTTTTTTAAACGCCGAAAAGCGGTTGATCGGTCAACGTTAAGTGCTGTAGCAACTTCCTCTGTTGAAATTCGCGGAGTATTCTGAACTAAAGTTCGCACAACATCGTCATCAATGTCTGAAGGTCGACCTGAGCGTGGCTCGTCTTCAAGGTTAAACTGTCCGCGGCGAAATTTCGCAAACCATTTTTCCACAGTTCGTTTAGCTGGTGCTTGATTTTGATAAACCTCTTGAATGTTTTTTACGGCTGCTGCAACGTTTATTCCTTTCCGAAAATCGTAAAGCATAACTTGCCGTAAATGCACCTTTTCGACACTCATTTTGAAAGTAATCTTTCTCGAAGCAGTTCGTATCTACATAAATTCTTTTGTTTGAAATGAACGCTGCACACGTCACCTTTCCAACGATATGTCTTACAGAGATGGCGGTATTAATGACAAAACTTTACGCTGCTTCTAACGCCATCTATTGCACCTCCGCACGAACTTTTGCACTCACCCAATACTATATTTATGTCACTTGACCTAATAGAGACGCGCAGATAATAGGAAGATGTATATAAGTGTTCAAATATACAAGGTGTCCTAGAACTCAACGGATAAATTTCAAACGTACGTAGAACGGATTGAGATGAACGAAAAGCCTGTGCTATTTTGCAAACAACATGCAAAATTTCGAGTTATTAATTATTGAATATAGCCATGTATAAGAACTTCGTTAATTAATAACTAAAAGTTTTGTGCGTTTGTAAATTGGTAAAAGATCTTTTCGTTCGAAATAGTCTAATCTACAAGTATATGACTGTTGTACCTGTGTTGTACTTTACAGTTGACACTTTAATTACAAATATCTCAGCTCTCGAATGGTCAGTTGTTTCTAATTGCACGAGCGATGAAAAAAAGTTATTTATCATTTTGTGCTCTCAGGGGTGGTGTAATCCCTTAAAGTAGAATAACTTCTGATCTAGGCTTTGAATTACTGTTAAATTTTTGAAATCACTTTTAAATATAACGAACATTAATTTGTAATTTTTTCGTCATTTTTTTATTATTTTGATTCGTGAACAATATATCCTTAAGCCGGTTCTACACGATGTCGTAAATCATAAGCAAATGTTAGCAATTATATCATATTGATCACGTATATTTGGCAAATATAAAGTGTAACATATAATATAATATAACATAAATAACATACGTTACGTATAATAATGATAATATAACATACATGATCAATATAATTGCCAACGTTCGCCTTTTGACACATTTTACACATCGTGTGGGATTGGCTTTATATTATTAGATCCGTCAATTTACTATCGCAATTATTAGCAAGAATTAATTATCAAGTATGAAGACAACGGGCGATACAAACGAACGCTGCTATCTTTCATCTGATATATTGCGTAACTGTATTAATAGCGAATTAAAATCCTGAGTTAAAATGCTACAGGAAGAACTAATCCAATCGCTCTTAACTTTTTTAGAAATATACTGGCTTCTTTCCGCCGAGGCAAAACAAAAGTAAATACACTCTAATGGGAATAAGAGTGAGAAACTTTCTTCCGTTTCCAAAGTATGAGAGATTGTATCAGGAGAAATGCCAATGCTTTATTTTCTCACGTTATTGCGAGCCATCACGAGCAACAAGGAAGCAAGTCCCGACGGAATAAGGATCTCCGAGGATCCTCCGTGTTGGACAAAGGGAACGATCGATTGTTCCTCAGCCCGGAATTGTGGCCATTGCTGCAGTCTGGCCTTGATCATAGCGATAGAGAAACCCGATATAAGTAGCCAATAAGACGGTAGTTGCCGTACCGCTTCTACTCACAAATTAAAACTATCCCTTCCTGCTGAATCCCCCTTCGCCCTTTCTGTTCTTCTTTCGGCGGCGACGCTAAATATGTTTCGACCGTTGAGACAATAACCAGCAAGATTTTCTTTGTAATGGAAACTTAAAGAATAACAATTACGCGAATAGCTTTAATTGTAATTAAAAAATGAAGAAGAGAAAAGGATCGATTACAAATCTCACTGGTTGTTTGATAGTAAAGGGAGGTGGAGAGAGAGAGAGAGAGAGAGAGAGAGAGAGAAATTTTATTTTCATCATCACGTAGAAAATATTTATCGTAAGAATTCGAACGATACCTTGTAATTTGGAGTTAAGTAATTTTTAATAAACGCTTCATTTTAAGACGAGACTTAAAATGCCGAATTAGTGTTTCAAACGCGCATTCGAGGTAAATTCACGCCACTGGTAGATCTCATAGAAAGGTCTTTCGTATCACGGAGGAAAATTTACATTCCGGCGTCAACGTACGATAGCCGTATTCGTGCTACGGATATTGTCTCTTGTGATAATAAGATAAAGCTGCACACACTCCGTTCCATTTGTACTATTGATAGCACCGAAGGCTTTTATAAAACAATCACACACCTTCAGAATAGTGCCATCACGGTTACCAATGTCCGTCTCTAGCTTTGTCTGTTTGCTCGCCGATGGATTTTTGGAACCTGACATTTGCCTATTTTTCGGAAGTCGATACGATGAACATCCGTTTGGTGTGCATTGTACGCCAGCGGCGTACCTATATTGCACAAGAAAATCTTTCTTTTTGTGCGGCTGCATTTGAATGAAGTTTTATGCGAGCGACAAAAAATTGACGAACGAGTTATAACGTACCCTTTCGGTGTATTGTTACAAACATATATATGGAAAGAGCGTATCGTCCAAGTCAAAAGCGCAATCGTTGCATATAGTTTGCGGGGCCTGTTTAATTTAACAACTCTCTCACGATGTATCATTCGCCGATTTCACCATCGATATTTTCGGTTGTAATATCTCGGAAAAGAAGCATGCATTGAATAAGTTATGAATGTGTGTGCAGCATCAACGTCAAGAAACTATGTGAATATAATCGCTATCCGTTAAGTGCGCTTCCATGTTTCATATATCCTCCTATATGTATATCTCGCAAGAATATTTCTCGTTCATGCAACTAGGAAACCACACGCGCGCACACACACTTGCAAACTCACGTCCGCATCAAGGGAGTTACATAGATAATTTATAACTTAATACGCTCAAACAAGAAAAAAGGATCGCGGATGTTAAGGAAAATGTACGACGGCGCCTTTTATTTTTGGTAAGTGCAGGATTTAGTAATACGCTAGTAATGTACTTTGGTGATATGGAACAATGTATCGTATATCTAGATTAACGTAAAACCTTGCCCTGTTTAATACTGAGCAAATTTTTATACGAGCGCCATAAAAATTCTATAGTGACGTGCGTTCGCATGTTTCTCCTCGCGTAAATTGTCTCAAAATCATTGTGGCTTTTAGATTGTTTAAAGAGGTTTTAGCGTTTGATCAAATATAAGATAAATAATAATAATAAATTTGTAATATATACATGATACCAAAATTAATTAATATCGAACTAATAATGCGTAACAAAGTTTCAATGATCTTTGCCGTATTGTTGTCAAGATATTTAATTTAAATGTGCAAGCATAGAAACCTCATAAAACACCATATTTGTAATATATATTTGTAAAATATATAAAATGGAAGCGTGAAAAACTATCATTAAAGATTAATACACAGATATTAAGGCAAATTTTAAAATTTTATTGACTGTTTCGTTTAGAAAATACAGTGGTAGAAAGTTTATAATTTACAATAATATCCAAGATACATGTATGTAAGCGTATATTTAAACATTTAAATACCTCTTTTTATTATCTATGCATTTATATTAGATCAACTGATACACAATGAGATAGCATTAATAAGAAAAATAAAAAATAATATTTTGGTACTTGTAATATTGCGTAGATATATTTACTTCAGCTTCGTTTCAAATTAACATTTACTATTTAGGTAGTAAAATAAATCTATAGAAAAGAAATTTTATTTAACAAATAGTAAATTTGTGAGAGGCCCCTTTGATGCGCCCTTAGCGCTAAAACTTCTTTAACCAAATCA